TAAGTTCGAAAAATGGGAAGGGACTGGACAGATGTGCCGGCTGATGCCGGTGGCTGAATTTGCTTAGGATCTCTAGAGAGACTTCTATCAAATTTGCCATAGGGATCACTAAGTCCCTAGGGCCGCGCCTGAGCACCCATCTCTGCACCCCTAAACCCCTGCCTTCCTGCCCTGTGCTGTCCTGTCCTGTCCTGCCGTCCTCACCTCCGACATGCGCTCCACGAGCGCGTGTTTGCTGCCCGCGTACTGCAGTGCGCCCCACAGCTGGTCCATGGTGTCGGATAGACAGTCGTCGAAGGCCGCTGCCAACTTAGTGCGAACCTGCCACACAATCAAAGTCACAGTCTCAGTCACAGCCTCAGCGACAAACAAACTGTCATTAAAGGAACATCCAGTCACGAACTCGACGTGCGCGATGCAGTGCTCAACCGGTGAAACGCCCCGTTCCTGGTCCCCATCCCCTCCCCTCCTCCCGCTCTTCCCCCCAGGTGGACTCCAGGATGGGCTGCTACAGCACCCACGTTCTCAATGATCTCATCCACCAGTCCCGGCGGCAGTCCTCGCATGCCGACCGCCCCTGCACCCAGGCCGCTGGTGGTGGCGCTGAAGCTGGCGCCACCCCAGCTGCTGCCGCCCCCGAAGCTGCGAGCGCTGGCGGCGACCGGTCCGGTGGCGGTGCTGCCGGCGAAGCTGGGCATAGCGGACAAGGCTGGGGTCGCCACGTCCGCGGTCAGGGACCCTGGAGACGCGGCCATTTCGATGCGCCGTACCGCACCCAAGCAAATTTCCTCCAGCTGCTGACGCAGTTTCACCAGGACCACCCGGCTGTGGGACAGGAACCTGGCAGCAAGTTGGCAGAGGGACGGCGGAGGCGGGGTGGCGTTTTCCGTTAGCGCGGAGCTCGCCCCCTGACTCAGCCCTTCATCCCCATATTGGCCCACGCATCAGGCCCACCTGGTCCGCTGCATGTAGAGGGGTGGCTCTGGAACCTCCTCGGGGGTGGCTTCACCGTCAAGCCCCAGTTCGGGCTTGGTACCCCCCGGGACGCCATCACGGCGTTGTGGCTGCCGTGGGGCATCCAGCCAGGCATAGTCAGAGCTAAGGATTTTGTATGACCCAAGGGGAGCGCCGAAGGGGTGTTTGGCACTGCCCCACACGTCAGGATGGATTTGTTGCGACTCAGGTGACGTGGAGAGCAGACTGGCGCGGTCCTTGCCGGTCGAGACATCATTTTTATCGTTGTGCTTGAAGAACTCCGGAGGGGGCGGCGGACAGGCTTGGAGCAAGCTGGGATCCCGGAGCTTACGATGCAGAGTCTGAAGGGACGTGAGCAGGGAGTGGAGGGTCGCTCCAGCTGCTGCCCAAGCCGGGCATGCATAGGAACTGGATTCAAGTTCCATATTGAAGAATAGTCTTTACCTTAATGAAGTGCTGTGCAAAGCTGTCCCCTTGCCTCGTAGAAACCACGCTTGGTGACCGACCGGATGGTACCGGCAGCTGGGTTCCCTGAGAATCTACGGATGCGTTCATGCTATCTGTTTCTAACAGTCACCCACTTTTAGGGTGTGCGATGTGCAAGAGTGCCGCCCCCCTTGCTAGCAATATATCGCTGATATCCCATGAGGAATAGCTCACTATCTTCACATTTACGACAAAGCTAAGTTCAGAAACATTGCTGTGCAGCTAAACTGAGCAAATTATGGAACAACTCTTCGAGGCATCGAACCTGGTCACGGCAAGGTTTCGGCATCTTCAGCCAAGTACCTTAATAAAAAACATGTTTTTGAATAAAAGCCACTGGTGCATATTGGTCTTCATTGGAAGCGACTATAGTATATCTCGTCCAAAACCAATACCGTTGCACCTAACGAGGATGAGAATAGTGATAGCAATAATGGCAGGCATGCTCTATACATGCTCGACTACAATGCACTCTGGTACATGTAGCAATATTTTCTGGGTAGACAAGCCGCGCAAGCACACTATCATTCCTTGTTCCACATTTAGTAAGCAACAAGCACCTGTACGCATTTCAGATTATTTCTCATGCGCAGCCATTTTCCCTTTGACTGCGATGATGTATTAGAAGCGCTTCCGTGTCTTAGAGGCTTTCGCCATGTGCAACAGCCTTGCAAGTACACGACTTGGGAAAGGAATGAGCTTGGCGCTCAAATCCAGGGCCCACAGTAATGTGCCATTCAGCATCCTCAGGCCATCCTCAGGATAACACAGTGATACCCTAGTCATCAGTTATATTCTAACCATGGTTTAGACAACATATACTCGCTCTTGATCATCAACTTCTGTTATCGTGATGTTTTGTCCGTGTTCATCCTTAAAACCCGCTGTCCGCTTCTGCCACATTTGGGTTTGACGGCGCTCCAGGTATCGCCCGGCGGACAAGCACGCACATCAAAGGGCTGCCGACTTGGCAGACGTGCAACCAACCGCCTCAACGACCTCAAACGGTACTCCGCCTGCAGGGGCGGTGGATGCGCCATTTCGACGCAGGCTAAAAGCGAATGTGTCCTGTCAGTCAAACGAAACTGCATTAGCTTACGATGTGTTGCCCTGATGTGCTCTAACAAAACGTGCAGCACTGGGACGATACAGTTCCTTCGGCTCGTATGGGTAGTTTTACAGCGCACACGCACACACACACACACGCACACGCACACGCACACGCACACGCACACGCACACGCACACGCACACGCACACGCACACGCACACGCACACGCACACGCACACGCACACGCACACGCACACGCGCACACGCACACGCACGCGCACGCGCACGCGCACGCGCACGCGCACGCGCACGCGCACGCGCACGCGCACGCGCACGCGCACGCGCACGCGCACGCACACGCACACGCACACGCACACGCACACGCACACGCACACACACACACACACACACACACACACAAAAAAAAAAGAATAAGTGTGGGACACCTGGTGTGTGGACAGGACTGACTTTCGAGTGAGGTCCTAAACTTGGCACTGTCCATTGGTTATCGATGTTATATAGCCAAGCGTGCGCGTCGAAAGTCCAACTTCACCCGAACCCATGGATCCTTGAGTCTGTTACAGGCCATACCGGCACAGCAGGGAAGCCCAATACCTTACATCCCCTCGACCCCAAAACTTGACCACATACTTCTTAAACCCAAATAAAGTTATAGCCAAGCGCGCGTCATTGGCCGATGGCCAATCCTGAGATGCCGTCACCGCTGCCACCTGCTGCCGTACCGAAGGCCAATCCTGGGACACTGTCATCGCTGCCACCTGCTGCCGCAGCAATAGGTGGCATTTTCCAGCTCGTGAGGACTTTGAATCTCCACAACATGGGCATGAGTTGAGGGTCCCAGCCGGCCATCCTTCTAAGGCTTCCAGGAAATCTTCTTCAAGAGAGTTTTTTGCAGGCTAAAAGCTTTGCGTGCTCCCTTCCTAGCTGGTGCCACTGTGACCTCTTTGCTCTTGAAAAACTTCGCGAAGGGATTGTCTATGTACTTTATTTGCAATATTGGCTACATCAAAGAAATGAGAGTTTACATGAAGCCATGTAAAGCGTGTAGAAAGCATTATTGGCGCTTTAGACATTCTTACGGGGAGTTCGCAAGGTCCCCGTTTACGAAGGAAAGCCGCGCCAGCAGGTCCCCGGCCCTAAGGACGTGTTCACATGTGGGCGAATCAGGGTTGATTCATGCGAATTGGACTCTGAATTGAACCTGATTGGACCCGAATCGGAATTGGGGTCCGTAGAGGGTAGGACAAACTGTCGGGCAGAGCAATTCTTTTGACTGCCCCGGTCGCACAATTCCCGTGCTTCCCTAATTCGGCACCCTGAACACGCTAATTCTGACTGTCCGAATGTCCCTGCCAGGCCAATTCGACACCCTGTCAGCCTAATTCTGACTGTCGGAATGTCCCGCCAGGCTAATTCGTATCCCTGTCAGGCTAATTCTGACTGTCGGAATGTCCCTGCCAGGCCAATTCATATCCCTGTCAGGCCAATTCAAGGGCCTGTCCCGGCAATTCAACTTGTCCCAGGTGTCAATTTAAACCCTTCTACCGAGCAATCTAGACCAATTGCAGGGTCTGCCCCCAAACTCTCAGGCACGCATTCAGAATCGTGGAAGTTGAAGGAACTTTACGAAACAAGGGGAGCACTTACAAATATCTCTCGTATGTTTGTTGGTTTCAAATCCGTACATGCTTGTACTTCCTGCCCCATATGGGACAGGAAGTGGCAGGAGCCCCACACGCCTTGTTACCGTACTCCGTACTCATTCACCCATATATTCATTGTGTGTGTATGTGTGAAAAGTTACCATCACCCGAACCGACCAGAACCAAAGGTGTGTCTGCATGGCAAGTCGCTCACAATTTGAACACCCGGTCTATTCATTCATTCATTCCTTCGTTCAGACAAGCAGACATATCCACACGCCTCGTCTTGAACTGTGCTTCAGTCCTGCTAAGGGCCCCCGGCACTCGACCAGACTACATGTGTTCAAAAAGATACCACCACCCGAACCGAACCAAACCAGGGGCATGTTAACCACACCTTTCATTCGTCCATTCATTCATACATCCAATCATTCACGCAGACAAAGAAATGTAAGCACACGCGCCTGCCCTGCAGTAGTGTGGCCCGGCACAATGTAGCTGTAGTAGCTGGTACACAGTAAGCACAGTAAGCTGGTACACGCATAGCACGACCACCAGCATCTCGAGAGGCCTTTTCAGTGGCCAGCTACTAAATAATGCATGAACGTCACATAGAGGAAGGTAGCATAATACGAGCCGTCAACGATAGGACCATCACCGCCAACCGGACTGCGTGAACCTGTCTCCAGTGCGTCACGCAGCACACTGACTGCCTTGACGCTTCCAGTTGAGGGATCCATGTCAAGGTCGGCCAACCTGTCTGTCAGTGAATGGCGGTAAGTCAGCCACAAACCAGTCTGTACCTAATTCCAGGTTGGATAGAGCCTACTTGAGAGTGGCGCGCTGGTTCTGTTTGTCCTTGTAGTTGAGATCCTGGGACGAGATGTTGACATGGGGCATGCGCTTGCTCAGCGCGCGCAGTGCAGGGAAGCTGATGAGGTATGGCCCGATCATCATCATCTTCCGGGGGTTGATGAGCTGGCGCCTGCAGCATGTGTTACAGCGTCGACATTGCTGATCCTATTTGGTACCAGTCATTCGCCCGTGAACACATGGCCATGCTCCTGGCTTTTAATGTACCCCACAGCAGGCCCACGTACCTTAGGCGCCAGCCAATGTGCATTTGGTCAATAGTCAGCACCACGGGTTGGAGCACGGACACCCACGTCACTGCAAGGAGCAATGTAAAAAGCTACCTCCTCCGGCTGGCGTTGTTGTCCTTTGACGCTGAGACCCCGGATGATACCCCGCAGCAACTGTTGAATTGTGCCGTCAACGAGTCCTGAATGTCAATCGATGTCCGATGGTTAACAAGTCAAGGCATGTGTACGCGCACGCCAGCCTACACTACTCACGCATGCCGACACTGCATCATACCTCGTTGTGATGTTTCGAGCAGTCGGACGAGTTCACTGCGTGATGCATCTGCCTGAGCATATGCCTGTAGCCTCACTCTATCAGCCTGGAAAAGGGATGTCCGCCGCTTAATCTCCCTGTCCAGCGCTATTCGATCTGCCTGCGGATGTGACCGCCTTGAGCTCAACATGTCCCACACGCTCAAGTCCCTCGGCAGAACGGAAGGGGACAATGACACGTGGGTCTGTCGCGACTCGCTGTGTCGCAGCGACTCGCAGTGAAGCAGCATCGGCTGAACGCTTCAATTGGTGATTTCTGTTGAGGGCCAGACACGCGGCACACGGCCGTCCAGCTGCGGAGGAGAAACTGCAGACAACGGACCGGATGGAGTCGATTTCGCCGTAGTATGCTGGAAGCTGATTATCCCGGAAGAATGTATCCGCCTGTGGCGCCATGTCAGGATTCCCATGTGGGTTAACATTTGTCAGGCAGACCAACACGCTAGCCTTGCCTTTGCCCGACCCACATGCACTGACCTTATCAAACCGCCATGCCATCAACAACCCGGGGTACCAGGCTAGCGTGCGCCCTGCATCGCCGCCCGTGTCCATGATGGCGGCCTCAATGTCCCGCGGCCCCAACACACCCGCCTGGGAACAGCCGTATAGGCAGGCGTAACATTCGTCGCGCAGTCCAGGGCACGACATCCCACCGATAACACGGCGCCGACGCTCGGCTAGTTGTTGCAGGAAGGCGGGGCACGCTGGACGGGCGCCTGGCATGGGTAACGGACCGGGCAACGGCGCCGTGCTTCGAAGCCCGCGCTGCGACAACAGGTCTGAAAACATGGCCTGCATACCGGCATCCGTATCCAACACTGCCGGTGCGAAGGCTGCGAAGGACGCATACTTAACTCCACAGCTAGATCCGTCGAAGCCACAAAGCGCCTGAACACAAAATTGTGGGTACAGGACCGTGCATGGCGCTGGGTGGCCACAGCAACACAAGTGAACTGTGTGCTGGCGTCCACAGACTCTGCAATTAAGCTGACGTTTCTCCAGGACTTCCATAGCAGAGGCCGGAGACTTCTCCGCCCCGAATACCTCCATGCATGCACCATGGTTCATTTAGCACCGTTCGACACAAGAACCTATGATGATAATATAAACTGGCATACTTATTACAATGGTTTACCGAGATTTTTAGAAATGCTTCCCTACTGTCTAAATACCTTCAGCTTTTTAAAAGGATCACGCCTTAGATATTGCTCAACAACGGCATAGAGATGTATAAGTATACCAAAAGCACTTCCAGCGCCGCGCACTGTCACGGATTAATGCATACACCACGCTTCCGTACAACAAGAGTTTGGTGCGCATGTAAGTATGGGTTGCGAGCGTATCACAGTCGATAATCTTACAATAGTATTACATGCCTACCCAACTTCAGCGTTTAGCGTTGATTACATAGAAGATAGGTTACTTTCGGGTAGGAGTGGCGAGTAAATGGCCGCTATAGATGTCGCCCTGGAGGACACTGCGGAAGATGGAGACCCTCGAGACCAGCTGACACGAAGTCCAAATGACGCGGTATGTCCTTTCTTGCTTTGTGGCTTCCAACCATGCAAATGCGCCATGGTGCACTTGCAGCCATTCGCCTTCACTCGGGGTTTATTCAATTCTCTGCTGTGTCTATAGTCGGATGTCGCGGCTCTCGCGACGTGTCTCCACGATGTGCTGGACGGGGACGATGAACGGGTAGATGCTGTGCGTCGTCAATTCGAAGAAGTTCTCGGCGTCTACTCCGTTGGTGAAGCATGGGAACTGTTCCGAGGTGAGAGATTTAGATTGTTGATCACAGAGAGAAAAGCGCGAGTCCGTGCCAGAGACGTGGGGCGGCGATGTCCCCGTGCTGTGCCGAGAACAACCGGAAACTTTGCGAACGGTGTTTTGAAAGACAATGTGCCCTTCATTGCAGAGGATTTCCAGCTCTCCCCGCTTCGCGCCGCCATGGCACTGAGAGGGAATGTACCGGGCCTTACCGTCTCGGACGCGAAATCCCTCTTGTTCAAGATCAAAACGGCATCGGAGGGGGCCGTGGAGGATCAGGGACACAGGGACGCGGAGACTGGCACCGTCGAGGACGCGGCGGAACTGTGGTCCCGATGAGTGCACCAGCCGGCATCACCGAAGCAGAGGATGTGCCACCCCGCGTCAAGTCGCGTGGTGCTACTGGTAAGTGGCGACGTGAGATGTGTGGTAGGGAAGAGTGGGCAACCTAGAAAGGAGGAACCCACCTCACCCCACCCACCCAATTGCATAATGTTATACATACCGACGTCTATGAAACATCATACCATATGACAACAGATATGCCCCCTTGTTTTACAACCCTGTATAGGCGAGTTCAAAACAAACTGGTCAGAGCTTGGCGGTATAGACCCATATGCATGCTGCATCAGCGGCGGCATCAGGGGGTGGTTCATCGGTGCTAAGACTGGCAACATCGAGAATATTATCAACCACGTCAAAACACGCCAGCACATGATGGCGTGCAAGCAAGAGACACAGCGGCTCAGCCAGCAGGGTGGCCTTGTCGCGCGGCCCATGCCACCACCTGGAGTGCGAGACGTCAGCTGTGCCTGGCCACCTGACATGCGCATGCATCTATATGGCATGTCGGACGAGGCGGCAGAGGAGGAGTATCAGCGCCTCTACAGCCAGTTTCAGCACAGGCGCACACGTCGGCGAGAGCAGCAGCCCAATGCCTTAGACAGTGGGCGCCGCATCTTACCGCGCACTTCACCCACTCCTGCACCTGGAGCGCGCACCGTTGGTCCCAACATGGATCCGGAGGCACAGCGCATCGTCAGCCCCGACGTGGCGACATGGATATCAGCGATAGCGAGTCTGGTGAGGGAGTCCATATGGTTCGAAGCGGAGGGGGTGGGAATGTGCGCCTGTTTCTCTCCAGTGAGAGTCCGGAGTGGTTCACCCCACTGAGTATCATAGAGCTGGTGCACGAGGTGTTCACTCCTGGCAGGATCGACCTGGACCCATGCTCGTCCGCGGCTGCGAACACACGTGTTGGGGCGACAGTGTATTACGATATGGAATCCGATGGTCTGTTGGAGTGCAACGCGTGGATGGGCAATGTGTTTGTCAACCCGCCTTTTGGGGTGCACGGTGGTGCAAGCTATCAGAGCCTGTTTTTCCAGAGATGCGCAACAGAGTACACGGCTGGTCACATTCACCAAGCAGTACTGCTGCTGAAAGCCGCTGTGGGTTATGCGTGGTTTGATGCCATACTACAATGGCCTGTCTGTTTTCTGCGCCAACGTTTGGCGTTTGTGCGTGGGCAATCTGGGAGTCAACAGCAGGAGGGAGGACCCCTGACATGGGGAGCGCGGGTAGCCAATCCACACGGAAGTGTCGTGGTTTACATGGGCCCAGACGTGCAACGTTTTGTGTCAGTGTTTGGTTGTATGGGCGGAATACCGGGGGCGACTGCATGGGCCATGCCCCGCCCAACGGAGAGCTCGATGGATTAAGGCATAGATTGCATATGGTGAACATATTCTTCTCGGCAGACATCTGCATTTTCATTTGTTTTCAATGTAGCTCGTGGTACTGAGTTTAGCGGTTTATCAGAGATTTGTCATTGTTTCCACCCGAACCTATTCATGCATACGAGTGTTGTGGGATAAACTGGAC